CCTCTCCACTCATGCCGAACTCGTTCACCCGGGTGGGGTCGACGCGGTAGATCCACCGTTGGTAGAGGTAGATGAAGAAGACCACATCTGCCAGGAGGGTGGGCGGCATCAGGGGAAGGGCCTGCAGTGCGCCCAGGCAGGCGTGGGGTGGGGGTCCTGCGAAGACTAGACGAGCCCCCCACGCTGAGACCCTAGTCTGGGCGGCCCCCCTCAGCCCAGGCCTCACCGTCCCGCAGGCAGCCGATCCGGTACATGACGGGCATCTTGATGACGAAGGCGAACAGGTCGTCGATGAAGGTGTTGAGGGCCTTGTAGGTGAGCATGCGCCAGGGCAGGTGGGCCACGGACTTGAGCTTGTAGTTGATGAAGAGCTGGGGCGTCATGGTGATGAAGCCTGCGCAGTGGAAGGGGGCCACGTGAGGCCCCGTTTCCCGCCCACTTCCCCGGCTCAGCCACACCGCCACGCTGGGCCTCACAACAGCTTCTCCCAACAGCTCAGGCACGCCCTAGCGCAGGGCCTCTGCTCGCCCTGCCCCGTCACCGGGTCCCTGCACAGCTCCTGCCATGGCCTCTCTCGGGCCTCAGTTTAAACGTCCTCTCCTGGGAGAGGTCTCCTGGGGCACCGGCCCAGCACCTCACACCTGCCCTCCCAGCACCCTACACTCGTGACTCATCTGCCTGCACTTACTCCCTGGGCGCCCCCAGGACAAGTGCTCCCGAGGACCAGGACAGAAGCGTACTGTCACGTCCTCCCAAAGCCCTCTTACAGTGGGCCAGGCACCTGGGGGCTCCCACACGCCACCCTGGGATGCCGCTGCCCGCCCAGCTCACCGAAGGTCAGCAGGTAGCCGTAGAGCATGCTGAGCACCCAGGAGTACCAGCCCTTGTGCTCCAGGTATAGAAGGCTGTAGACGGCGTAGCAGCCCAGCAGGGGGAAGAGGATCCAGGACAGGTACCGGAACGCCATCTGCGGGCCCCGCGAGAGGGATGAGGCCCCGCTCCTCCGGCCCCACCTGGCGTCCCTGCTCCCCGCCCTCACCCACCCACACCTGGTCCAGCGGGCTGGGCCCAGGGAATTTCCAGGTGGTGCTGGGAACTCTGGACACGGCCAGGTAGATACAGCAGGCAGGGACACAGGGTGTGACACAGACCCACTGTGGGGGACACTCACGTCATCATAAACTTTGGTCGAGGACTCGACATACGTGGACTTGTCTTTGAAGGTTGGGCGGGGGAAGATTCCCGCCACCTTGCGCTCCCGGTCCAGCTGTGGACAGGAGGGAGGCCGAGCTCAGCTGCCGCGCCCGCTCTCGGCCCGTTCCCACCAGCCCCTGCCCTTCCCCACTGTTCCCAGTTCCCCTGCCCCACGTGTGACCCGAAAAATCCCCTGGTATGAAAATCCCCTCAGTCCTGGGAGGGAGGCAGGCGCCGGGAAAGCCCCGGGGACCAGCTCCAGGGTCTGGCTGGGCCAGACGCTGCCCCCAGGCCCTCTGCAGCCCCTGTGGCGGCACGGCGCGGGCCTTACCCGGACATCCATGACCTTGGTGATCTTCCAGAGGTCGATGAGGACCCCGATGAACACGCTGACCTGGACCACGAAGTTGGTCTCGTTGTCCAGGATGTAGAGGAGGACCACGAATGACTGGAACACGCCAAAGAAGACCGAGCGCACCGACAGGCCCTCCAGGGACTGCCGGCTGTTCCAGAACTGGATGTCTGCAGGAGCGGGGAGCGAAGGGTGAGGAGCCCCCAGGTCTCCTTGCATCCTCCTCAGACCCCTGGGCTGTCACGCATGAGAGTGACCACTACCCCTCGCCCCTGGAAGAGTGCCACCTGGGCACCAGATGGGACCCCTGCAGTCCTCACGCAGGACAGGAACCCCGAGCCTGGGCACAGACCCCCAGCTGGCAGGGGCAGCGATGGTGACGGTGAACACTGCCACAGAGCTGCTCGCCCTGTGCTGGGTGCTAACGGCCAACCAGAGACGCCGCTTCCCTGAAGCCACACAGCCGGGCTTGGCAGAACCCAGACGGGAGGCCAGGCCTGTGTCCGCCTGTGCTGCCACGACACACGCCTGAGACCACCTTCTCCAGCAACCCCGCACCATGTGGGCCCCAAATGCCCAGACAAGGGCCCTGCGCACTGGTCTCCACTCAGGAGCTCCATCCAGTGCTTCTCCGGGGAGCTGCCTGAGGGCCCGGGCCAACCAGGTCCCCAAGGGCGCCCTTCTGACCCCAGGAGGCCGGGTGGCTAACAGCTGCAGCCACAGAGGCCCCTCGGCCTTTCAGAGGCGAGGCCTGGTCTGCGGTGGCACGGGGCCTGCTCTGCACTCGGCAGCCATTGCCATGCATCCTGGCCTGGCTGTCCCTGGTCACTCCCCGTGACCCTCCTTCCCAGAGCTCTGCACTCATGGGCTCACCCCATCCACCAACCACCCCCACCCTACTGAGAAGAATGGGTCCGGAGACAGGGTTCTGGTGGTGCGGGGGCACCTGGGTCCCTCTCAGACTGGGAAGGCACCATGGCAGAGGGTGTGGCGGTGCTCATGCCAAGGCCACGTCCTCTGGTGTGTAACCGTGGGTGAGGGACCACACCTCCCGAGCCTCACTTCTCATCTGGAGAAGAGGGAGCCCCAACCCGGCTCCGGTCAGCGGCAGCGTGGGTGAGGAGCGCTGCCCAGGCCTGGTGTGCACGCCGCGCCGCTGACGCACCTGCGGGCACTGAGCGCGCCTCACGTCACACTGTTGGGCAGCAGCCCTCGACAGCGGCAGTGCCGTTCGCGACGACACGCCCCCACTCCTGCACTTCAGGGGCTGCGGGCCTGGCCTCCTCCTACAGACTGGGGCTCTCTGGGGAAGGAAGAAGTGGCCTAGGAGATGAAGTGGGGCAGAACTGGCTGACACTTCGGAGCGGTGCGACTGTGGGAAGCGACCTGGCCTCCCTGGGCCTCCGCCCCCTCGCCTGTAATGGAGGAGGACAGCTCCTCAGGGTCTGGGCTGTGAGGGCTCAAGGAGCTGGGCACAGGTGCCGGGGCAGTGCCAGGCATGAAGCCAGTGCTCCTCGAACTGGCCATCAGCATCTCAGCCTTGGAACCCGGGTCGCCAGGGGCCGGATCACTTGCCCTCCCCTCAACCCCAAGGGCCTTCCTGACAAGCGTCTGCTGGGCAGGGTGGTGGGGCAGCTCTGGGGCTTCCCTGCTCCTGGCCTCGGAGTTCCCCAGCTCTGCTTCCTGGCGCTGCCCGAGCAGCAGGCCCAGCCCCTCCTGCAGCTCCACGCCTGGTGGGTGGGAGTTTTGGAGCCAGTGTCCCTCCCAGTTTACTAGGCCTCTGAAGGCAGAGAAGACCTGTGGGGAGGGAGGGAAAAGGAAGGGGGCTGGCCCTGCTCCCGCCATGTGCCTGCCCGTCCCCAGCCTCCAGGGCCTCTGGCAGACACCCTACCGTTTTTGAAGGCCAGGAACTCAAAGACGCTGTGGACGATGGACACGACGATGGTGAGTGCCAGCAGGTAGGGGTTGGTCTCCAGCAGGGCGACCTGGGGGTGGGAGGCAGCTGCGAGCACGGCCCTGACGCAGCGCTGCACCAGCCGGCCCCCAGGACCGTGGGGCCCCCTGGCAGCACCTGCTGACAGTGCCCATAGATCTGCCTCAGGGACCGTCTGGAGTGGGCAGGGCTTGCCACCAGGAGGAAAACAGGTCAGAGATGAAGGGAAAGGGGGAGTGACGAACAGACACCAACAGTGACAGCAGCCCCAGGCAAGCAGAGCCAGGCTCAAGGTCGCAGAGATGGCAGGAAGATGGACATGGCGGATATTTTAAGGACAGAGAGCAGAGACTTGGAGACAGAACCCAGACAGCGAGTGGGTTTGGGACGGAAGCAGGGAGAGGCAGGTGCAGACCCAGAGGGCCTGGGCAAGCACCAGCAAAGCTGTGACAAGGACAACAGAGACCTCGGAGACAGGCCCCAGAGGTGGCCAGGGGCAGGAGCCCGGAGCCCATCTCCCGCCCTGTGAGGTTGTGAAACTGGACGGGAGCACCAGGCAAGAGGCCCCGTGAGGACTTGGCCCACTTCCCCTTCCCTCCCACAGCCCAGGGAGGGCTGGGAAGCCCCGCCTGGCCGGGCGCGCACCTTCACGGAGTCCTGCTCCTCGTCTGACTGCTCGTACAGCTCGTCGCCCAGGAAGTTCCAGGGCGACTTGGTGCTCTGGGCGGCGTAGAGCTGCCAGCGCCAGAGCGAGAGTGGGCAGAAGGAGACGCGGAGAGGCAGGCTGGCCAGGCTCTCGTTGATGGGGTAGTAGTCCTTCTGCAGGTTCCAGTAGTCGTTGAAGTAGATGATGGGGTAGTAGTCGCCACTCACGGCATCGAACTTCACATCTGCGGGCATGTGGGGCAGGGGCGCTGCTCAGCCCAGCCAGGAGGCCCCCGAAGGTCTGTGGGGGCCTGCCAGGGCCCCTCCGGCAGACTGGAGGACGGGGCATCGCTTGGCTGTGCCATAAACAGCCTGTTTCTGGGTGGCAAGGGTGGGCGGCCCCAGGGGAAGAGGGCAGCTGAGGCTAAGCTCCAGCCCACACTAGCCCAGGGGACCATGCAAGCTGGTTTCATAAGTCAGAAACCTGCGCTTTTAAGTGATATTGCTTCAATTTCAAAAACTGGCACATTGTTAAGAACAATTTTATGGGGAACCAGCAGTTAGCGTAATGGCTATGTCGCTGGACTCCCACGTAGTCGACCGCGGTTCGCGTCCCGGACCCGGTGGCTTAAAACTCACGCCGGGCGCGTGTGCGTGCGTGCCCAAGATCCCGAGAGGAGAAGGGATTGCAGCGTGGCCATCCCCCCTGGGGGGTGATTTCTCGC